TAAAAAACAAGAATTTTAATCCCATGGCAACGATTACTGTATTACCATCCAAACCTTTATCATTAACGCGTCAAGAATATTTATATAAAAATATTCGAAAGTTTGTTGATGATCCATTTCAGGATATTATATGTCCTAAGCCATAAATAAAAATTAATATTTTTTTTAAATCGAATTTTATTTGCTTAATTAAGAATGCATATTGTACTAATTTTAGATTGTCGATCTTTTTTTTGAAAAAGAAATTTTTGTGTAAATATTTCGATAATTTATTATACTTGTATGCTTAAAAAATTAGATTATTATATAGTTAAGCATATCGGGCTTATATTAAAACAAAAAAAATTTTTTTGACGGAGGGTCTCAGAGGGGCATTTTGCTAGTCCATGACCCATATCTGAATTGAGACATTATCTGAAATGCGCATTTGGAACATTATCCGAAATGTGCATTTAGGATATTGTCTGAAATGCGCATTTGGGATATCCGAAATGTGCATTTGGGATATTGTCTGAAATGCACGTTTGAGATATCTGAAATGTGCATTTCAGACAATATCCTAAATGCACATTTCAAACATTAACGCATTTGGGATACAACAGCCATATCTTTGAGTTGTTTTTTGATAAAAACAGATCGAACCAAAATAATTCTATCAAATTCGTTATTTTGTTGCAGTGTTGAACAAAAAAAAAAAATAAAATTACATTTTTTTCTTATGTTTTAGTATATTTATTATTATTTATTATATATTGTCATTCTCAAGAAATTTTTTTCATACAGCTTTACGTTAGACAGAAAAAAAAATTAAAATTTTATTTTGCAATAACTTCCCTTTTTCGTACGTTAATTGTTATCTCCTGTAAAAAATGGTTCCTTTTCTTTTTTTTTTTTTTTTATCAATACTCGAAATTTTGTCAATGACTTTTATCATCTGAAAAAATGAAAAAAAAGTAACTTTTATTTTTACAGATTATGAAAAAGTTTGACGTAATTAAAATTAAAAAAAAAAATAATTGGTAAATTACAAATTACTTTTTAAAAAACTCAAAAAATTGTTAAAGAAGACAATTATTTTCATGAATGCCAACAAGAACAACGTAACCCCGCGCGACGACCTGCGACGCAGATAGATCTACTTTTGCTGTTTTGCGTCTTTATGTAATTTCTTTTTTTTTTTGTTCTTTACGATTTTTTACGGCAGCGCCAATTATTGGTTTAGTCATTTTAGAATAAATTTTTTTTAAAAAATAAATAGTATTATAACATACAGATTAATATGAGATTTGCTGAGCAAAATACATATCCATTGAATTTTTTATAAAACATGGTTGCAAAACCATTAAAAATCAAAAATTCGAAATGACCGAGTCATTACTGTGCCACACGAATTGTCCCACTTCATATTTATTCTATCAAAGCCAACTAATGAATCATTCGGTTACACTCGAGTTACGTTATTAATTTAAATCAATTTTCAAAAAAATAAAAGCGTTATTTTTTTCAATGTTTCTTTAGTTTTGTCGAATCAATTCTTTACATCAGTTTTATGAAATATTGCGATATTTTCCGATTTACTATTTTATTATATGAAATAAAGTAAGTATACGCCCTTCGTTTACTAGGCGGCGAATTACAATTGCTAAAGAATTTTCAGGTATATTAAAATGTGTCGAAACATATAAAAATTCAAACATATTTATCGCCGGAGGTTGCACCTAATTTAATAATTAATTTTGTTAAGTAATAAAAGATTCGGGAATTTTTAATTAACGGTAATTATTGCGATATTTTGTGATGAAATTAGGTGAATTACAAAGAATTATATTTTTTGAATTGATAAAATGATAGTTCTCACAAAGTTACACAAATTAAATTGAATAACGATCTTTACTTATTCGAGTTATTTGGTAAACAAACCTTTATTTTATCATTTCTTTATATTACCAGAATAATGTTTCAATTGATTTCGTCGGAAAATGGATGATATTATTGTTGACCTAAGAAGGAATTGTAACATATTATTTCGAGGCTTCAAGGGAATAAAACCATAAAAATAATTGCATTATTTTCCTTATTTTTGATACTTGATCTCGCGCAAAGGAATTTTAAATATGTATGAAATATATTCAATTCGTTTAATCCGAACAAAGTAGCTGATAAACGTGAGACAGTACTTTTCAAATTTCTTTGAATTGTGGTGAACGAACCCCTTGTTAATATTGCACGAAATGTATTTGGATGATACATTAATGCATTCTAACAATATAAAGTTTTTTTCTTGTTTTTATGAACAAGAATTTGATAATTGCCCAATAGTGAATAACGGTAAGATTTGTCGAAGATATAAAACGTACCTCTTTGTAGAATCAGAATTTTCAAAGAAAACACAAAAAAAAAAAAAAACCTTCAATATCTAATAATTCCAATAATTTCAAAACAATTAAACAATTCAATAATTGAAGGTCATCAGAAATTTTCAAAAAAAAAAAAAAAAAGAATTTTATCTCATAATTTCTAAAAATTTTCAAATAATTAAAATAATTCAACAATCGCCTTCAAAATGAAATCCCAAAGTCTCTTGGTTATCGTATTTTTCTTGACAATTTTTTATTCTCTGAACTTGGTCAATAGTTTGCCAGTAAAAAAGGAGTAAGTAACTTTTTATTTTTTTTATCTTTACTATCAACTGATTTATTGATAATGACGAATCATTTTCATATCAAATAAAATAGTTCATTTGAAATCACTCGATTCGGAAGAAATAACCCACCGGTTCACGGCGGTCAAGATAACAGTTAAATTTTTATTCATCTATAATTTTATAAAGTTTTGTTTTTTATTCAACTTAAAATGTCGCTTCTTTTATATTAATTTTAATTCAAGTATTAAAATATCAAAAAGCTTATTTTATATTTTACAATATATTTGAATAAAATATATATTTAAATATCTATTTTTTTATTGTTGTGGAAAAAAAAAATCTCGTTCATTGTAAATTTAAAAATGCCTCGTTCGATTTTATGCGTATAAATGTGTGGTCCACTTTTTCGCAGAGAGATGTAATAAAAAAAACGAGACTAACTTCTGTATTTTGTAACATAAGGTCAAATTTAGAAAATCTAGTTGCTTAACATTTATAAATCATTGCTTGCCACACATGGGTATGATTTTGACACGTAAATACATCAATTACAGAAAAGAAAATTCGTTCGCATTGACACCGTCAACTTTCTTACACCTGTTTTAACGATAACGTGTAATGAATGAAGTCATAAGTGTTTGAAGCAACTATATGAAATCAAGGATAATAAATTTAATGTTTCAATTATTTAACTTCCAGATATCTAATACCTTTACAAACAATCATTGACGATGCAAAATCTATATTTTTTTCAAGCATACCCCTATGAAAAAGGAAAGTTCTGAAAGTGTGTATACGTTAAAAACTGAAATTGAAATTAAAAAAAAGATACGAAACAATTTGAATTAGGGTATCAGAAATTAAATTTCTGAATTTAACACCAAATAAATGTCCACAATTTTTTAAGTAATTTTTTGAAGTTGTCAAATGTATTTTTGAAATCAATTATAGTAAAAAAACAAATTTCAATTATGCTTTGTCAAAAGAGCATATATTACTTAATCCTCTGTCGCACTAAGTGTCACTCATGATTATCTTCATATTAATTTTTCACACATGATCACTTACAGCCGGGAAATAACTAATAATAATAACAACTTAATATTTTGTATTTTATTTATCCTAAAAAAAAATAGTTAGTTCTAAACAATAAAATTAAAAAATTTCAATAAATGTTTGTTTACATACCAAAATTAATTTGTTTTGTATAATTAGTTGAATCCTTTAATGCTACACCTTTAGTAGGAATTAAAAGAGAAGCATTATTTCGTTTACGCTTAACAAATTGATGCTGTTAGGCGGATACACCTGCAATTATTTTATGTCTTGAAAAAATCATCTGCTCATCAAGTGTGACATCAGATTCAACAAGATTGTGAATACCTGTTGATCTCATTGATGTTACGATCTTTAAAATCCGAATCTTAACAAATAAACCTATCCACATTGTTGTATTTAAATTTCTTGATCATTCTAAAATTTTAAAATTGTTTCCTTAGTCGATGAAACAAATCGCGTTGTCATTATTAATGTAGAAAAAAATAATGCAAAAGAAAGCTTAAATCGCTAATCATGCATATGCATAATCACGTGTTATATTTAATGAGTGACACGCTCCATTTTTTTCATGGGCTTAGGAATACCATGGTTTTTTCCCTTCGGGAAAAAAACCATAATATTCCTAATCCCCCATGAAATAAATAATACAAATTTAACATATAATATAATAGACCAATAATTATGCAAATTTACACTAATATTTATTAATTTAGCAAGGTCAAAATTTAAACTTTTATATATAATTTGAAATCATGACTAAATTTGTTTTATAAAATGAAAAAAAAAAATGGCTCCAATACTTTATTATGAATTAATAAATTAATTTTATTTTCTTTAATAATAGTAGCATTCAGGCAACATATTAATTCATCAAGGTGTAATTAATCTATCAGACTTCGGATTATCGAAAAGAATTGAAGCGGAAACCAAACATTTTTGTAGTAATTTCTTATGTTGATCCAAAAAGATTTTGTAAGCGAAGAAAAACAACTCAACAATATACGTTGAATAAAAGTGATGTTTACGTACTCTTATGGGAGATATCAAGTGTTCGACCACCTTTTTATGTTAACGATGAAGAATATGACATTATGGTTCATTATCTCGCTAAGCGTAAAACTCGTTGAATAGACGACCGATTATTGCTCAAGTGAACCTAAAATTTTATCGACACAAGTAACTTTTTCAAAAGTATAAAATGGAGGTTTGTAATTCAAAGGGTTTAAAGAATACGCTTTTGATAAGTATATAATATTTCGTTTCATGAGACTACTAAATGAAATCGTTAAAGAACCAGATGATATATTTAAAAATCAAGAATAATTTTATTGCACAATTCGTTCAATCACCACAAATTGAAGCGGCTCAATGGAAGGCGTTAATCCATTTACTTAAGGTATCAATAACGACCAAAGGTTCAATTAAGTAATGCGAAAGTTATTTTAACTAAGACTACTTATTTTGTGTTTCTTTTTTAATATCTAATGAACAAAAATATCAGAAGATAATTCCACAAAGTTTGTAAATCCCTACGAACCTCCATCATCACCACCATCATCGTATTGATTTCCACAGAAATATTCAATATCATCAAAATATTATCGACTACCATCAGTACAAGTATAATGATTTTAACATTCAAGAATTTTTGAATTATCATCTTCAAATACAATGTCCGCACCTTCCCTTCTTTATCTCAAGACCTTGTCTTTATCTTCTACTCAGGCCTCATGGACTGTATTAAATTTCCAGAAACCATGGATACATGCTTTTGGGATCTTAAAGCTTTTACAAGGCGGAAGGAAGGTAAACCGGGAATAACGCGTTTACATTCATTCAAATGCTAAGGTACCCTGCAAATTTTCAATGGATTAAAATAATATTTATTGTTATTCATTTATTTTACATGTCTTGCATCATTTGATCAAAGATTTCGGTAATGTCTCAAAAATCGTGACTCAGTAATTTCTTCATATGATATTTTCTCTGAACTCACAGCTCCCCACAAAAAGGATCTCAAACTTGCAGTAACATTATAAAGGAGGTATGATAATTGATGGTAATTAACTGATAGTAGCTAATAGAAGTAAATGAACCCTTTTCAAATCATATAAAAATTTTATCATAAATGAGAAAACGAAAAATTCTGTGTGAGATCTACTTAGCTTTTTGGTATCTATCTTTAAATATCTTTTTTTTAAACAACTCTTGCGAAAACCCAAATTTGAGATTGATCGACTTTTCCCATATTTCCTTGACGCTTTTCTGAAACCACTTTTGATGAAAGAGAATTTCTTACTCATTTCCAAATTAATTGCTCTATTCATTCTCCTGTTAATGGTTGTGCTACAAATATTATTGGATTTTGACAAACAAGGATCAAAATATTCATATAAATAATTTAAACATTAAGTAGCAAAAAAAAAAAAAGAATAATTACCGGAAATTCTGATGGAAGCATAAGTGTAGTAGGGATAATAGATTTTTACATTCTCGTAATTCCGACCGTATCAACTTTTTTTTAAAAATTGAAAACAATATTTATATCAAAAATTTTTTAAAGTACTACGACATTGGTGCAGTACATGTACCCATATTAAAAATAGCGTAAAAGCAATTGTCCTGCCTTATAAATTACATGCGCTTGAAAAATATTATCTTAAAATGTAAATTTGTGTGAATTATGATTTCTTAGCTTTTGTTAAATAATTTTCTTTTTTCGATTATACGCGTTCTAAAATCGATTAGAATCGATTTATCGAAACCGACCGAAATCGAATCTTAGTATCGAAACTCAAGAATAAGTAATAAAAATTAATCAATTATTAACTACTTTTTGATGTTAGTTGGTGGCATTGGTGCTTCAATCTTCTACGCTTTAGATCCAATGATCATGGTTAAAAATTGTGGAGCAAATATGCGAAGACAACTTTATGACTTTTTTAAGAAATATATAGAGATTATCACATAATGTTCATTATCAAAATACTCGAGAAATCTTGTTGCTAAAGAATGATTATCAAACGAGGGCAAAAATTTTCAAATAATTAAATATAGAAATTTATTATTAACTTTTCTTAGCCACGCCGTACATGACTAATGTGGAGATTTTATTTATATGCAATTTAGATTATTGAAATTATTGAATTTTATGTAAAATTACAATAATTTTTTTAAAAAAAAATATCCCGGGTTGATGACGATTCTAAATATTCAACGTAAAACTAACAAACCCTAATTTACCAATAAAAGTTTCTTTCAATAAACTCAACATGGCTTTTTGCAATTTTAAAATTTTGGAAATCTTGGAAATTTGGAATTTTGGTATTCTAGAGGCGTGTTTAAAAATTTGACGCGTCACCTTACTCATAATTCTAATTGTCACCACCAACTAAATAATAGTAATATCGGAAACGAGGAACAACGGCCCATTTATTGAATTATACTTATTGGAAGTTTGAAAAAATGAGATGGATTTCGAAAGTTCAGTCTTAGACCATGAAATTATTCTATCTAAAACTATTGAAAAACTAACGTGGTCACAGTTGCTTCATTTGAATTTTTATGTTTTAGACATTACATTTATACAAAATATGTTCTTCCCAAAAATATTAGTGAAATTTCAACGTCGATGACGTCATTTATCAATGGTTTCTCATATTCTAAGCTGTACAAAAAACGAGGAACGTCCAAATAAAAGCTCAACGAATTCAATTAACAAAGATGATTCTATCTCAATTGACAATATCATCGTTTAGCGACTAAGTATTTGTATTTCAATGATATTGTACAATCTAGTTTTGAAATACAAATTCTATAAAAATTTGCAGCAATTACAACAGATTAATCAAATGCATGTAACTTTTATGCAATAACTTTGATTTTTAAATATATCTATAACGAATCAAATTTGACAAATAAACAAGGCCTGAAACCACAATTTGAAATTTTCTTTATATATTATACATACATGTCTTTTTTTGGTAACTAATACAATTATTAAGTCAAATTATTGTCAAAGATAGTAGGTACACAAGAAAGTGTGTCAAGAATATGAATGAATGATCAATCAAGTATTTTATCAAGTCATAAAATTTTTTGATATTGAAACTTCAAAACAATATGAAATACAAACATTGTCATTCTTTTCTTTTTAGAATGTTTGAATTTTTTAAGTTAGAACAAACAAAAACAAACGAAGGCAATTTAAATTTTTTGGAAAGATCGTAAACTGGAACATAGAAAAAAAGAATGAATAAGCTAAGATACAATGATAATCATCCCTTCTGAAAATACGAACATTAGAACAAACATCCAATTGATGAATTTCTTATAACAAGACTATTGCTTCTAATTTTCACGTATAGATTATTTGTATTATATTTTGTTACACAAGTATTACAAAATGCTCAAAAAGAAATTAGGAAAATTTTATTCGATTGTCTAATAATTACTTTTTTTAAGCTAAATACAATAAATCATTAAAAGTTCATACAATATACAATTAAAACAAGTAAATTTAAAAAATTATAAAATACAACAAATCAAAATATAATAATTATTTTTTAATGTTTAATCGTGTCGAACACTTTTTACAAACAATTTTAATTTATTTTATAATAAATATTAAAAAAAATTACGTAAGAAAAAATGGATGTTCCTTTATTTGATTTTCACAACACCGTGATTAACTGTCTACTGCCCTATATACATAAATTGGACAAATATGTCTAAATTAAAAAAAAGGATTAATTTAATTGTAACAACATGTTACATTTAATATATATAATAACCTTGAAAAATAAGATTGTATAAGATCAGATTTATTAAATAAAAAATTTTTTTAATATTAGGTTTTTTAGGTTTATCTGATTATAGATAAGTTTCT